ATGAAGTATAAAGCGATATACACGAATATAAACTTATGAAGTAGTGGACTTCTGTTTTTTATTTAGCCAACCTGAACGACCGATTAACCTCTGAATTCACTAGTTGAATACTTTATTAATATATATATATATATATATATATATATATATATATATATATATAGTTGGGAGATTAAATAATTATAACCATATTTTAGCATATCCTAAAGAAGCGAATAAATTTTGTGAAAGCTAAATAAAAGAACAAAAAGTTTTACTTATCCTGCCCTATTAATGACTGCAACCTCAAAAGAAATAGTTTACCTAACGTGTCAGTCAATAATACCTAACTACTATATATAAAATATATATTGTATGAAAATCACATTCCATAGTTTGCAATTTATGGCATTCGGCCATGGCTCCCTCTATCAAACTTCACTTTTATAGGAAAATTGTTATTTTTTACAATATACTAATTTAAATACTTAAGCTTAAATTCACGTAGTAAATAAAACATCTAGTAAATTATATTAGAATTTTAACAGTTCGTTTCATCCGCAAGCATGAATACATTTTGAAAATTTAGCACAAGGTGACGTCATGCGCGTGAGTGTACGAGTTTAGTGCGTGGCAATATCATATCTGGTATCCTTATATCATGGTGGAAATATAGGGAATACAGAGTGTCTCCTTCTTCTTCTTGTTATGTAGACATGACTCGGTCTGTTTTTCAATGCGCCTTCAGTAAGTTGTCGTTCCATCCTTTTCGTGGTATTTCTACTGATCCTCTTCCTATTGGTGAACCGTCTCTTGCCGTCTTTACTACTCTATCTGTTGTCATTCGGCTTATATGATCGTTCCATTCAACTCTTCTATTTCTTGCCCAGTTCTTGATGTTCTTCACCTTGCATCTACGTCGTATATCTGTACTTCTAGCTCTGTCCCATAGTGTCTAGGCAAATAGAGTGTTAATTTAAGAATTAGACTAATTCAATATGCCAGAGAGTGGTCAAACTACAAAATTAAATTGAACAATGTCAAAGCATTACTAGAGACCAACTAACCAGCATTGAAAAATATTTTAATATCTCCCATTCTCCATGTTATTATTTTGGTAGACGTTTTAAATTGTTTTTATAATATCCAGCGGGATCTGTTTATTATACAAGATTACATCTTCAAGTCTTACTTTGTCAAATACCTTCTTCTAGTTTTCTTTTTAGTTTTCTTAGTTGGTTTTTTCTTATCACCTTTATCAAGTTGTTGCAGAAAATAACGGAAATGCATATTGTCACAACAGGCATCCATCTGACTCTTTTTGTTTTGAAAAGTTTCTACATATTATTGAAGTGTAAAAATTATTGACACTATTTTAATAGCTGTCGATATTATATTGGGTGAAGCAGAAATCATTATTATATACCTTATGTATTTGTGATTTTCAACATATGTATATCTCAAAATTGAATAATAAATAATGTGAATTGTAATATCCTTTAATTTAAAATGTTTTACTTTTTGCGTTAGTTACGTTAACATAAAAATGCATTGGCAGTGATACAAAGATCGCTGCCAAAAAATTTGACATTCTCTATGTTCTTTGCCAACTTTACAGTTCTTTTAGATCAGTGACTTTTGATATAAAAAACCGAGTGAAAGTCGTTTTATTTCTAACTATACCTCTGACTTAGAAGGAAGAAAATATTTATGTTTTAATTTAAAAACATTGCTGATGAATTAAAAATATATATTTGGACACACTACGCTACCAAGAATAAATTGCAAATCACGAACACGTTCTTTAGACAAAAAGATATTTAGAAATACACATGAAGTCGCTCGATGATGAAGACCGATAATAGATTAAATATTATTAATTGAAAAACTATATAGTCAAGTAGTAGATACCCGAGTATACCGCGGAAGTAACATTATTATCCATCCACTGTATATCTATACTTTGTTTTAAGTTAAGAAAATAACATTACGCTTATGGAGATCAGTGTTATTAAAACTCTCAGGCACGTGTTGCTATTAGATTGGCGATATATGATTCATTCTAATCAGAGCCGTATTCAGCACTGTGTAGTTAATTAATTTCACTAATAAAAGGATGTATAGTTGAATACAATATGATGCATTATAAATACTTGTTTCTTTAATTGACAGACATATTTATGTAATTATTATAGGTCTAATAAAAATAGTTAAATTTTACTATTGTTTAACATTACATATTTATTAACGCTTTAGATAAGATGTAACTAAAAAAACAAGTGCAGCTTTAATTTTATTTTCATGTATGTAATAACAACAATTACATACATATAATTGTTTCCTTGTATACAGGGTGAATCACCATTAACGGAACGGAATATTACAGCGAAAGAGTAAAAAAATTTTAAATTTAAAGTTAATAAAAGCTACATTTTAAAATTATTTTGAAATATACAGGGTGTCCCAATATATTTCGGCGTATCAAAGTTATATTTTATCTTCTTATTCTTCTTCCTCTTTAGAAACAACCCTGCTTGTTCCTCCGAGATACTTCTTCCGATTAATGATTTATCTCTTTTGACCACACGTGTCTCCCCCATTCTGCTTATGTGGTTATTCCATTCTATATTTCTATTTAGTGTCCATTCATTTATATGAAATTTTTTGCCCTATTAACTAATTTTCATTTTTGTCGGACTATTATTTACAGACTTTTCGGATTTGGCACTTTGTGTCCGCCGATTTGCACACGATCACAAAATTTACTCACTGCATATTAACATCATCTTCATCTTCTCTATCATTGCTATCACTTTCATTACTGTTACTGTCAACCGTCACATTTATTACCACAGGATCAATATCGTCCATCAACCCGTCAAAGATCCAAAATTTTTGCTCTTCCTTTATAGCAAGTTTACACTTTTCCAGTTTTCCTCTGTTACTACACCAAATGCATTTCTTATTAATTGTTCCATAGTGGCGATCTTAAACTCTGTGTTGTGTGAGGCAATATGTCTTTTGACTTGACTCCATACCATTTGAATTGGATTTAACTCACAATGGTATGGAGGTAGTCTTAGAATCGCAACATTTTTCTCTTTGCACATATCGTCGATTTTATATTTTATGTATTTTTCTTTGTATGTGTTTACGACTTCCATGAGCTCTGATTTTAAGTAATCTTTAAAAAAGATATCTTTCTCCAGCAACCATGTCTTAATTTGATATTTATTGAAGGCTTGTGTCGGAATCACTTCTTCTCTCCTCGAATGGTATGAAGCGTTGTCCATCACCACAACAGTTTTCTCTGGAAGATTAGGAAGCAGCTTTTTCTTAAACCATTGTTCACATATAGTACCATCAATCTCATCATGAGAGTCCGCTGAGTTTTTTTTTAGCTAAAAACCAAAAAGCAGCACCTTATACAAAGCCCAATTCGCTACCCATGTGCACTATAACAAATCGGGCGCCTCGTTGTGTCGGCTGTTTTAAGCCTGTTGACAACCCCTTAACAAACGCATCCCTGGTTGAAGTCACTGAGAGGTCCTTCCATTCTTTGGAAATACTATGTCCATCATTCACCCAAGTTTCGTCCAAATAATCGACGGTGTATCCTTGAGAACGAATTTTTTTTTATCTCATGCAAAAGTGATGCCTCCATTTTAGAATATCGGAACGTTCAATCATGCTTGACTTTACTCCTCGTTTGCAAAAAACAAAGTTCATTTCATGGAGTATTCTCCACATTGTTGTGCCTGACATGTTTGCTAAATCTTTGTCTTTTTTAACCAGTGCAAAAACTTTTTAATGAAAGCACTATGCACGATGGCACGTAGCCGCGTATGAACTACGGCATCGTAAGTGAACTTTCTGCTGTTCACTCTACTTTGGGTACGTTTTCTTGTTTTTTTTTATGGGCCTTAGTACTCCTTCCGTAGCTTCTTTGTGTATTTTAGAAATAGTACTTTTTTCTTTTGTACTAATAATACTTTTTTCCTGTCCGAGAATTTAGGTCTTCTACCAGCGCTGCTTCCTTCGCGCTTCCTATTTTTGTGATTTCATATGAGAGTTTCTCAAAAAACCCATCTTTATCTCTTACTAAAGCATCCCTATTTACTGCATAAACTTCTATAATGGTGACTTCACTGCAAGTTTAGATTTAGTTTAATGATGTGCTGGCTCACTGATTCCAGAATGTTATGTATCTTCATAGACTTTTTCGGATAAATATGGACACTCTTTGCTGGGCTCTTTTATCTTTAGGCATTCCGGAGAAAAAATGACCGTATTCCTAGGTTATCTGACCCTTGTCCATTCTTTTTGGTCTCAGTAAGTACTAAAAATCCATGTTAGCGTTTTTTGTTTCTGAAATGTTAATTTTTTGTAAGATACCTTGAATGTTCCATGTACCAATATTCATAATCCGTTTTCCTAGCCTGCTCCTAGCGTCATCTTCGTTTATTTAAACGTTTCCGAGGCGGCGAACTGGAAGTTTTAACCTTTGTACTATTTAAAGAGTTTCGAGAGTGGATAGCCCGATGCCTCAACCCCCGTTTCAGGAGGACCGGAGCTTTGATTTCGGAGTGTCTCTGATAGACTGGTTGCCTTCTCTGCGAATTTAAGAGACCTGTCTTCCCTTATTTTTTATGTTATACTAGTCCTTACCAGGGAGCTGCCACTTCCGCCCTCCAGACCGTTGTGAAGACTTTCTTCTCCGCCATGAACGCCGTTGTGGACTTCATCCGTGACCCTGAACGAGGGACCCTTAGCAGGTACTAGTCTCCCGGGTCAGGAAACACCTGGAATCTGCTGAAGGCAGTGATTAATTCACTTCCCCTGATAGGATTATCCAAAATGAGTTCCTACCCGCTACCTATAAAATGTAGAAAAACTAAATACATATTAATATGGTCCGTGGAAACTACAACGCTTTCTGTAAAATAATAATTACTTATATTATCAATTTCTATTTTATACTGATAGGTAACATAAAATTAATACATCTTTGTATTTTTTAGGGACACTGATAATCTCGAAAATAATATTTGGGCTGGAGTACTATGTTGCTGTTTCTTCTTTCTGATTATATCAGTATTGGCGTTCCCCAACGGACCGTTCACTCGTCCCCATCCAGCAATATGGAGGATGGTATTCGGTATGAGCGTTCTGTACTTGATGGTCTGCCTATTTATTCTCTTCCAGAACTATAACACCATTAGGAGTATTCTGTTGTGGCTGGACCCGTCTTTAACAGAATTTCATATTGACATGGATAAAGAATATGGAGTTAATTGCTCAGATATAACCAAGGAGAGGATTTGGGGACACATGGATATATTTGCTTTGGGCCATTACTTGGGTTGGATGTTCAAAGCCATTTTAATACGTCACAATGGTATTTTATGGGCTATAAGTTGTATGTGGGAGATAACGGAGTTAGCCTTTGCCCATCTACTTCCAAATTTCATAGAATGCTGGTGGGATGCACTTATTTTGGATGTTTTACTGTGTAATGGTTTCGGGATTTGGTGTGGATTGAAGATATGCAAGATCTTGGAAATGCGGGAGTACAAGTGGGTAGGAATTAAAGACATTCATAGTACTACTGGAAAAATTAAGCGTGCCATGCTTCAGTTTACGCCTGAGAGTTGGACGTCGGTAAGGTGGTTGGATCCAAAGTGTTCATATATGCGAATTTTTGCATTGTGCCAGTTGGTACTCTTCTGGCAAACTTCAGAACTTAACACGTTTTTCCTAAAACACGTGTTTGAACTTCCCTCCTCACATTATTTAGTAACGGGAAGATTAATTCTCATTGGTGTAATTGTAGCGCCATCTGTTAGGCAATATTATAGCTATACTACGGATACTAGTTGTAAGAGAGTAGGTACTCAATGTTGGGTATATGGTTGTATAATGGTAGCTGAAGCTTTAATATGTATCAAACACGGTAGAGAATTATTCGAACAAACCCAAATGATTAATATGGTTCTTTGGTTACTAGTTATGGTTATATTATCAGTAGCCTTTGTGCTCGGCTGTGTCGTTTACTACAAGTATTACCCCGATTCCTTAGAAGTTAGTCCTTCAAAATCGAAAACGAAGATTAAATTCCAAAATGGAGAAAGGCAAGATGTTAAAGATGATTAGATGATTTAGTGTTTTGAGAAAGGTAATTTGATCGAATCATATTCGAAAATGTTAAAAATTTGTAGCAACCGCGAATAAATTTATACCCAAATGTAAATATATCAATCAATCAATCAATATTTTAGTTGCAGAGTTGCTGAATTAATTGTCGTATTATTGAAATTCAGACATTTTTTAAACAACTGAAAGATAGCTCGTACTTAAATAGATATTTAAAATTTTATTCATATTTATTAAATATAAAAAAATAACTTTTAGTGCAAACAAAAAGCAAATCTTGCCTAAGCTTGACAAATTAATAAAAATATATTTTTTGGTGATTATTATTGTGACTTCTGGATGAGAGGCTGAATGAAATCTTACAAGGAGCTAATTATTGGCGACGTGCAAGTACTTGGAGGGGATACGAGAAACGATCGTGCGCGAGTAGCGGAGAAATCTTGCATTTTTTACTGCACATTTCATAGATTTCATAAATTCATATTGTCAATTGTCATATTTCATATTCGTTTGTTTATTTACACCTTCTCTCACTGAAGAAAATGGGATTTAGGAAATGCTGTGTTATAAATTGTAAAAATACAACAAAAAATTGCCAATTTAAGTTTTATTCGTTTTCAACTTCGAAGCACAAAGCTACTACAAAGAGAAAAGTGGATTTATATCATAAAAAAGCATAAGTAACATAACCTAAATTATGCATTATTCTTGCGCCCCATTTTTAAGTCAGTTTGAAATAAATAATAAATAAAAGTTCATTTTTAAGTGTAAATTTTAGTTTCATAACACTCACTTAGAGTTAATTTTAACCCAAAAATCAAGTTTAATGTTTAAATTTTATTTTTTTGAGTTTTTCTGAAGATGCATTAAGATATATTCGCTGTCCAAAAGTTTACAGGAAAAGAATTAATTGTTCAAACCAATATGATGATATCATGGGATTAACCTGCTAATTTATGCTTTTATGCATTAGCATTGTTTATGATAATTTATTTTTCTTAATTCTTCCACATAATTCTTCCATTCTTTTTTGACATTTGCCACTACTAAAGCTTTTCCATTTGACTCAGTGCTTGGTTGAAAAGTTATTTGGTGATTTACTTTCTCAAATCCAGTTTTTATCATTGCATCCATATTAACAGTAATGCTGTAATTTAATAATATATTTATTTGTATTTACACTACATACAACGTTTACCTTTTAATAACATACCGACATAACCTCAATCTTACTTTTTCTTCTTATTCTTTTTTGGGGCTACGTCCTTGACAGTTATCCGGTAACCTCGATCTAACATGAAAGCGCAGTAAATTTTGCTGATTTACGACACCAGGTGTCGCTGTTCCGAACTTGCACGGTCCCAATAGGGGTCACATAGTGATGTATGCAGGCTCCAATGGAAATGTTAGTCCATCGTAGTAGCAGTTACTATTGTAGTCTTGCTACATCCCTTCAATAATTAGTTGTGAACACTAGGTGGTTTGTCTCACCTAAAAGGGGGACAAGACAAAGCCCAATATAAAAGAAAACTACCACAAGAAATCTTGTGATAGCTGACAGTTTGTTAGCATAATTTTAAATATCTTACATTACCTTGAGATTCCAGAAAATTAATACATATAGACAAAAAATAGCAATGGCAAGGACAGTATGATTTGCACAAATGTATATACATAAATATAAATATGAAAACAAATTAATAAAAATAACATTGAATTAACCGAAAAATTCCAAGTACAAATACCTTTATTAAAGTTTGAATGAAGCATGGGCATATAGAGGTTAGGTATGTTAAAAAAAATGTTTTCAAGAAAATAATCATCTGCGAATATAAAACAATAAATATTTGTAACATATTAACACTTAACCTCAAGGAGAAGGATGAGAAGTAAAATGTATTTCTGACGAATTTTTGTTTAAATACAGATGGCAATCCCTATCCTATTTCTATCGGTTTGAAGTAATAACTGACAATCGGAGTTACCAAGAAATTTTGTAGCTATGTGGTTGTATACTCAAGTACCACAATTGTAGCGAGTGATTCATGTTTTCAATGTAGACCTTTGCTGGTCTCAGAGGAAAGAAATCAACAGTCATAGGCGTGCGGTTATTATTAAAAGAGTAATCCGGGTTTTAGAACGAACTGATTCTCATCAAATTCTTCTTATTTTATATGCCTTAGATGAAGAAAACTAATCCTTGTTAAATATATTTTTTTGGAAAATTCATGTTTTATTCATTTACATTAGCAAACTTATGACTAATTCAAGGATTAAATTTAATTCCTATTTTCAAATGAGATTTAATAACATGGGATTAGAAAAAGTGTGGTCTAGTAACTTTTAGCACAGGTAAAACTGAATTACTTAAAGAATTCTTGGTACCAAACAGTGCTAGTAATAAATGGTTCACCTTAACTGAATATTTATTTCCATTAAATATAAGAAATATGTTCAAATAAAAACTTACATGATATAATCTAACCTGAGTTATCAATGTCATCTTCAGGTTCGTCAATAGTATTTTCGGCTAGATCCACAACAACTGGTTTCATCGTAATTTTAATGAAGTTATCAAGGTTCCACATGTTCTGTTCTGTCACTACATGCTTGATTTTTTGCTAACAGTACTATTAAGCAGATCTTTTACAAAATTTAATTTGAAAGTAACATTGTTCCTTGCTACTTCATTTTTTATTTGAGCCCATATAAGTTCTATTGGGGCTAACTCACAACGGTATAGGGGCAATCGAAATAGAATTATGTCTCGTTTTCGCGCCATTTTATTTACTACATATTTAGTATATTTATCTTTGTGACACTGTGCTAAGTTTAGTAACTCCATTTTCAAAATTAGTTCATTGAATTTAATATATTTGTTTTTAGTAAGTAAATCTGTAATCTTTTCTCGATTTAGTGGTTGGTAACTATTTTACACGCCAGCAGTGATGTGAAGTGTTATCCATAACAGATCCTGGTTCGATTTTTAACAGAATGTCTGAAAATCATTTTTATAACGATCTGCATCCATTTCCTCATGGTAGTCTCCAGTCTTTTTAGAAACAAATGCATTTAAACATCCTTCGACAAATCCTGAGTTGCTATCAATATGGCTAATAATAAGGCGTTTACCCTTGGGGCTTTTAAACCTGTCGACAAACCATCTAGGAAAGTTTGTCATTTAAATCCTGCCAAATTTGTCACAGTATGTCCATTTAACCATGTTTGATCTGTATATGTTTTTTTTTTCAATCCCGTCGAAATTCTGGTATTTATTTCAGATACTTTTTTTTCGCATGTTAAATTGGGACGTTTCTCTTTTATACACGGTTCACTATTACTGCTGTCAGTCATATTTACTATTTGTCACTAGTGGAATTAAACTAAATTATTCACAATTCACAAAAAGTAAACTTAAAAGCGCCTTGAACTAATAACACTACAAACAATTCTATTCTCTGCCTTGTGACCGTGTCAGTACTCTTATGGAACTGACTTACGGATAGCATACAATAAAAGAACTACCCGAAAAATGGCGTTGTTGTCAATTACATCGCCTTAATATGTAACGAAATTGTTGATTTTGACATTATCTACCGTTAGAAAAAGATATAAACTACAACATTGCAAATAAATTCAAGTTGAATCATACACGTTGACAACGTTACATTTTCCCTAGAACCCAGATCTTTGCCAAAACATTTGAAAAGTTTAAAAATAGACCAGTCAAATTATTGAAATGTATTTCATATGACATGAGATTTCTTCTATCTGTACATATATTCTTTGAAGGGTCAAAAGAAGAATTTTGTCAATTTGTAAGATATTAAACAGATTTTGCAATAATCCACTAATTTGTTTATTAAATAATTAAATTTTCTCCTTTTGTGGAACAAAAATATTTTTTTCTAAAGGGGAAACGTCAAATTTTACTGGCCTATTACAAAAAACATTAAAACATGAGTCACTCGATACAATTGTGGTAAGTAGGAGAAAGTTAGTAGTATACGGGGTGTAAATACAAAGTATGCAGAGTAAAAAAAAATTAACTGAAATAATTGAAAATTTAATGATGGTTAACACGTTGCCTGCCATCTCGGTCTATGTGACCGAGAAAAAAATTGCGCTGCACGCCAGCGAGTGACCGAGCCAATGCAACTGTAATGCCAGCTCGGTGACTATGGCTTGAACTGGAAATATTACAAAATCCTCTACGGCAGGCAACGTGTTTAACAGTATATTTACTTAGTTGAAAGAAAAGTTAAACGCCACTATTTTTAGAAGAAAAATACAGGATAAAATGGGAAGGAACCAAATGTACACAAATAAAGGAACAAAATCATCTTTCCCTTTTTAAAAGGGTCTCGTACACACATAAAGTCAACGTCCACATCTTGTTTGCAAAATGAAAAATAAACAATTTTGAGAGGCTGGGTCTTCTTATATAAAAATGTTTTCATTAAACTCCCTATGAGATAGAAATAATCAGAACTTTCCTAATGGTATAGGTAGGCGGGTTATTTGTCGGCATTTTGGTAAAATCTTTAAAGGGATTATTTAAAATATTTCCAAATTAACCGTCACGGCATTTTATAACAGTAAGGAATCGGTACTTTTTAAGCGGATTGTTACGGGTAGTTGAACGGTCTAGTGTGGTAAAAATATACCGGAAATTTTTAACACGACAAATGATTTCTTAAAAAATAAACGAAAATACTGAATTTTATACAAAATTTAGTAAAAAAATGAAAATTAGACAAAATGTGCTACTATTTCGTTTTTTTTTTAATTTGGCAACTGTGCAATTGAAAATTTTAGCAAAACAGTTATTTTGATTGATATATTTAAACATTGTCTATATTTTTGTCACATTTGATATGATACTGATTTTGCGCAAAGAAATCAAATATATTAAAATTAAGCCAAAACTGAAAATATTTTTGCCAAATATTTTACTACGCAATTTTTGGAATATAGTTAGCAAAATTGTTTTTATATAT